TAGAAGAAAAACTATCAAAGTGAAAACGAAATTGAGAACTTTACATTTATAGGCAAATGCTAAAAAAGAACTTGTTTAACAATATAAAAATTTTAAAACCTTTTATAAAAAGGCAAAAAATGCCCTAAAATCAGTAGGGAAATAAAAGCATAGGAAAAAATTATTTATTACAATAATAGGACAGTTCAAATGAGCCCTTTTAATTGCCAAGAAAAAGAAAGAACATCCAATTAAAAGTAGACAGTGGAACAAAATAAACAACGCAAAGGCTGGTCCAGACAAAGATGAAAATGTGATTCAGTTTATTGGTAGTTAAAGAAGTTAAGTTTTCAACCACAATTGCATATTAGACTCACCAGACTTTTCCTGTGTAGAGAGAAGACTATCTTCATTGTTGAAGTTTGAAGAGTTAATGTAGAAAATAGAGATCTAGTAAAATTTTTGATGTTTGTATAGTTGATACAACTTTGTAGCCCCTGTTGGCCTGGAACTTGAAGTGATCCTCATGTCTCTGTCACCCCAGTACTGGATTACAGGTGTGTGCCACCACACCTGGCCCAAATGTCCGTATACTTCAGCAGTTCTACTCTTGGCTTCTGGGCCATAAGACCAAAGCCATGCATACAGAAGACTGCATGAGATGCTTATTGCATCATCCGCTCCAGTGGCAAAAAATTGAAACAAAGTGTATATCCATAAATAGGGAATTGGTAATTGACTGATAAACTCTACTACATAATTATTGTGAAATTATATATGGTCCTCACAGAGAAATCTAGCCTGGACTGTGTCACTGGACTCAAAGGAATCTCTTGTTATAAGCTGAAAAATGTGAGATAAAGAGAAGGGGATAGGTATTAAAAGAATTTAAGTACTATATGGCAGTGTTTTTTTCCCACATTTGAGAGCACTCTTCGCTTTTAAAGTGATGTTTATCAGCCCTTTGATACTTACTGTACTAATTAATAATTTGACTTGATTGTCAATCTAATTTGTTATATGTAAAAGCTTTACTTCTGGGGCCGGGGAGATGGCTCAGTAGAATAACTGCTTCCCTGGCAAGCTCAAGGGCCTGAGTTTAATCTCCGGTTCTGGGAAAAAAAAAAAAAAAAAAAAAAAAAACTTTACTTCTGCATGATTAATGCATTTATTTTGGGCACAAAAATTATCCTTTTAAAAATTATTTTCAGCAGAGTGCAGTGGCCAGTGTTCGATCCCCAGCGTGCTGTGCTGGCTCCACCCCGGGCATGCTGAGATGGTGATTGGGACTGGCCGTGGTGGCACATACCTCTAATCCCAGTGCTTGGGAGACTGAAAACAGGAGAATCACTACAAGTCTGATCTGTATATTGAGATCCTGTAGACCCTGTCCTATAAATACATTTTTTAAAAATTGTTTTTTGAAAAAATTCCAATTCTGAACTTCATGTGCAAGATGTAATATGTGCAGTGGTTGTGCTGACATAAGCCTATTGAGAACTTGTTTTTTTTTCTCTCTCCTCTCATCATCATGTAGACAAGTTGAGTGGTGGTGGTACAAATAAAAGACAAAAAATTGATCAGGACTTTCTCAGCTCTATTGACCAAACAGGAGAACTTTTAGCAATGCTTGAAGATGACGAGATTGATGAAGTTAAACAAGAAAGAATGGAGGTATGGTACATTCTTCCCCTTTTACAGTAATAGACAAACACAGGAGTGCCTCTCTGCCTTTAGTTCTATTCTTGTGAATTTTATCTGAAATTCCCAGACCTGTGGTTTTGTATCTGATGGCAGGGGTGTACACAGAGGTACTTCACTTTCACAGTCAACTTTAGGAATCAACTTTTCTCTTACTTTATTTTTTCCTTTGAAAGTGAACAGTTTTCCTTACCCTGGATCTGAAATATGTTTGCTTTACCTTATTTATTTTTATGCCATTAAAGATAACTTGTAATTAAATGTTTAATTTTTTTGTTTGAAATTATCCAATTATCTTGGTGGCAAAGGTAATTTTTACTGCTTTTGTGTTGGTGTACAGGAAGAACTATTTTTCAGATGATTATTTGTAGGCTCTGACTGGACTCACTAGCTGAGTAAGTTTGCCAGTGCAACTACATGTTTTAGTATCACTGGAACTCATCACTAATCTGTAGTTTAATTTCTTGGATAAGTTTTGGCAGTGAATGTGAAAATTGTATGTACCCTATTTATTTACCTTAGCTATCTCTTCCAAAAATTGTTTCTTTAAGTATATTTTAGGAAAAATAGTAATGCCTTGTTTCATTTGTGTGCCTTCCAAAATACAAAACAGTATTCTTGTAATTCTCATTACTGTCTGTATACTTCTACATGTAAGAAGTCTCAATTTCCTCATTCCTCTTCACTGAGCAAGAAAATTTCAGAATTCCTAAAGATGTCCTAGCTGCCTACTTTATCATAGTCCTTATGCATGCCAAAATATAATTGTTTCATGTTAAATTTTGGGGCAAGTTCAATAGACATACATGCTTTGTAAACTTTTTTTTTTTTTTTTTTTTTTTTTTTTGCTTTGTAAACTTTTAACAGCCTTCTTTAAAGATTAGTATGTTTAGATCATAAATTGTGACCTAAAGGTGCTGTGCAGTGTGTGATTATCTTGTTGGTTTGGGGAAACTGCAAATGTTTCTTTTTTAAACTTTGCTTTAGGCCAAAAACATGCTTAGTTGTCCAAAGCAGATGATAAACATGTATTTTTGTTGTCATTATGGCCTAAACAGGATATGATTTTTTAGTGGCATGGTTTTACTTATAATACATTACATAGAAAGCAAATAGTATTTATGCTTTATTTTTTAAAAAATTGTATTTAAAAGCATGCTATAAAAAGGTCATTAAAGAAGGACTCTACCTAAACCCTAAGTGAAATGGAACAAGTAACTTTAATTTTGATGAGAAAATCTCAGCCAGCCAACCCTATTGCCCATCTGCATCCTGCACTTACATAACAAGAAAAAAATGGAGGATTTGTAACACTGAGCTGGTAATGCTGGGCTACTTCTACCTGGAAAAGAAACGATGAGTCAGGGAGGCATTAGTGAACATCAGTAAAATAGATGAAAATGTATTATAGAAAAAGCTTGTGGGGCTGGGGAGATGACTCAGTGGAATAAGTGCTTCTCTGGTGAGCGCAAGGGCCTGAGTTCAATCCCCAGTTCCACCCAAAAAAAAAAAAAAAGAAAGAAAGAAAAAGCTTGAGCACTTACAGTCTGTATACCATGCCCATAAAGTTAGGTATTAACTAATACTAATAAGGAGAAAAAATATCAATAACTGATAAATATGGTTACAGTGGAAACTTTGCTTCATCTGTACAGTAACCATGAGATTGGCAGCTCTTGAAGCCTTTTATGGAAATAAAATCTTCTCTAACTGAGTTAACAAAGAGTCATTTTGATATTTCACTCATCCAGATAACAGTTTAACTGAATAAAAATGATGGCCTTGTAGACATACTGTAGACAGTAGAAGTGGAACCGTTCAGAGCAGAGGCCTTGCCTGCTTCTAATTTGGCAGGTTACAGTTTCAAGAATAAACCACAACTGTGGCAGTCCATATGAAACCACTTTGGACTTGCGGACTGCAATCTCATGTGTTTAAAGTGCAGTAGAATAATCAGTCCTGGCATGATTCAGTGATATAATTTTGCTTCAAGCATCACTCAGGGTTGTAGAAACTTTTATTTACTGTCTTCTTCTCTAGAAAATAAGAAAATGGTATAGACCTACCAACAAAGCCTAATTTGGTTTTCTTTCTTTGTTCTGAGAGTTGTTGTTTTGTTTCTTTATCTTTTTTTCTCATTTAAATGTACTTTAGAAGAGAAAAACTTTTATAGCTATAAAAATTCAGCAGGGACTCAGCCTTTCTCAGAGCATTAAGTAAGCATGTGAACTCCAGCGTAGGCTCTTCTGTGGGATTTTTGGGTGATGTTCATGTGCCTTGCTTCAGGTTTTACTCATAATGGACTTCATTATTATTAGCTATTATACTGCTTGATATATGGAAAGGGAATTTTAATAAATTGTGCCTTGCTGGGCTATTATTATAGTTAATGAGCTGTTATTTGTTTTATTTTTCTTTAACACCAAATTTCTAACACTTGAGTATATCTGTAGGAGAGATCGGTGGTTATGATCTCTAAAGATGCATCCAGATTAATAAAAAATAATACTCAGCTATTTTAATTTATTTGAGGGACACATGAGTACAGCTTTCTTCCAGCTACCCCACCTCCCTCCCTACCACCCCCCCCCAAAGTGACTCCAGAATATTTTACACTAGATGTTTTGTCATTCAATTTTTATTAAAAATCTTATCACCTACATGTGGCTTTGTGAGCCAGAAGCCAGAAAAGGGTCACTAAAAGTTGCAAATGATTTTGTTTCTTTGAACTGTTTTTTCTTTTTTTTTTTTTTTTTGGGGGGGGGCGGTTATTAGGACTTAAACTCAGAGCCTCATGCTTACCAGGCGGGCGCTGAGCTGCACCCCAGCTTTGTGTTTTCTTAACGAGGAAAAATTTGGTCACTCAGAGAAGAGCTCTGAAACCTAGCCACTCAGCTTATAGAAGAATCTTGACACCTCACAATTATCTTTAATCAAGGAAGCTCTCCAGTCTTTTAAGATGCTGAGTTTGTCAAAGGAATGTAAACAGTGAGCACATAAAGTAAGTGGGTTCTATATTTAATGTAATCTTCAAATTGATTTTTTTAAGAAAGTGCAAGAATTCAAGCGAGATTGCCCAAAATCCTTAGTGAATTTGTCAACTGCTTCTAAGACAGAGGCTGCATACTGGAATTAGAAAGAAAACAGTATGGCATACATGGAAAACAGAATGGTATATGGACAATTTAAAGTATCTTGTAATTTTTAAAATGAGCTTAAATTGCATTAAGATCCCAAGCAATGATCTGAATTTTCTCAACCTGACATGTGCTAGACATAGATTTTAAAACATGGAGCATCTTATAAAGACTAAATACAAGATTATGCACCAAGATTAAGTGGGATTCATCCCAGGAATGTAGGGGTGGATGGTTCAATATATGCACATCAATAAATAAATACACCATATCAACAGAGCCAAAGATAAAAATCATATAATCACCTCAATAGATACAAAAAAGCTTTTGACAAAGTTCTACACTCAGAGAAAAAAAAAATACAAAAAATTGGAATAGATGATCTTCACCTCAACCTGATAAATGTCATTTATGACAAACCACAGCCAACATCGTACTAAATCAGAAGAAAATTAAAAGCCTTTACCTTAAAATGAGCAACAAGACAAGGATGTCCACTGTCACACTCTTATTTAATATAGTTCTGGAAACATTAGCTAGAGCAATTAGACAAGAGAGAGAAAAAGAATAATGATTGGAAAGAAAAAAATAGAATTATCATTATTTGCAGATGACATGATACTATGATGTAGAACACCCCAAGAACTCCACTGAGAAACTTGTAGATATAATAAGCAAATTCAATAGTATAGCAAGATACAAAGTCAACACTCAAAAATAGTGTTTCTGTACACAAAAACATATGGAGAGAGAAATTAGGGAAACCATACCTTTCATAATAACATTAAAAAAATTGAAATACTTAGGAAACAAACACAGTAAAAGATCTATACAGTGAAAATTACAGGAAAAAAGAGATTGAAAAGTACTTCAGAAAATGGAAAGATACTCCTTGCTTTTGAATAAGAAAATCAAACATTGTGAAAATGGCCTTACTTCCAAAATTGTTATACAGATTAAGTGCAATCTTGATTAAAATACCATTAATATACCTCACATATCTAGAGAAAATATTCTTAAAATTCTTGTGGAACCAGAAAAGACCCATAATACCAAAAGCAATCCTGAGCAACAAAGGAAAGGCAGGAGGCATCACAATCCCTGACTTGAAATTATACTGCAAAGCTACTGTAATAAAATCAGTATGGTACTGGAAATAAAAAATAGACCTGAAGATCAATGGAACAGATTAGAAGATGCAGACAAAAGCATAAACACACTCAGCCACCTTATTTTAACAGACTAGGCCCCTTTGAAAGGAGCCAAACATGTTCACTGGAAGAAAGATAACTTCTTTGACAAATGGTACTGGAAAAACTGGTTTCCACATGGAAAAAGCTAAAATTAGCCATGTCTATCACCATGTACTGAGGCCAAAATGGATCAGAGATCTAAATATTTAAACAGAAACACTAAATGTACTAGAGGAGAAAGGAGGTAGAAATCTTGAAGATGGGTAGGTAGAGAATATATGAACAAAAATCAAACTGTACAGCAAGTAGAATCAACAATTGGTATCTCTTTTTTTTTTTTTTTTTTTTTTTTTTTTTTTTTTTTTTTTTTTTTTTTTTTTGCAAAGTTTCTGCACATCAAAAGAAATCAACAAAGTAAAAAGAAATCCCATGGATCAGAAAAAAATTTTAGCCACCTGTCGCTTAGACAAAGGCCATCTTTGTAGAATATATAGTGTTTCTAAAAATCAGGCCTCCCCAATGCAAACCTGAGTATCTGAGATGAATATACACTCCTCACGTGAAGAAATACAAATGGCAAATAAATATATGAAAAATGTTCATTATCATTGATCATTCAAGAAATGCAACTTAAATAAAACAA